GAGTTCGCGACCAGAGTTGTGGAACGAATTAAGTTCGTGAACCGAGGTACCGCTGTATACTGCAACCCACTCTATTTTTCCTGTCACACCTAACTACTTTTGTCTTTGATACACTATAATTTTCAAACCCATGGTCATAATTGCATTATATGCCCTATTTAACATTTGCTGTAAATTATTTCAGTTCTCAGCCAACCGCGTAGCATCATCTGCATACAGAAGAGCAAGCTCTTTCATGTCTCCAACCAACAGTATCATCACTGCAAGCATTCCTTACACATTGATTCATGGATAAACAACCAAACTGACATCACGCATCCTTGTCTTACTCTTGCTGTGCTTACTCTTGTATCATTTGCTAAGCGTAAAGTAAAAATCAGTGTGGTAAAAATAGCAGTAGTATACTTCTCTAACAAAAACACTGTATAAAAAAATAAAAAGCATCTCGCATTAACCTGTGGCGACAAGAACATTTTTAAAAGAACGTTCAATAAATTAGTATAATTTAATTATAACGCCACAGCCCTGTAATGTCTTAGTTTTATAATTATGTGTTGTAAGTGGAGAAGCATAGTGAAAAAGTGCAGTACTTCCAGTAATATAGAAAGTCAATTGCATATCCATTTGTAGCTAATAGAGGAAGCACAATGACTGATTAGTACTGACTTGCTCATTTGAAAGTGACTTATATGCAGTACTTAATATGAATTATTTATTCATCTGCACCAAAGTTTCTTAAGCTTTGCAAGACCAAAGAACAATAAGCAGTTTTTAAAGAGAAACACCTGCCTGCAAGCTGAAGGAACAGCAGCAGCAATAGAGGCCAGAAGATCAAGCACCAGGTTGGAACAGGCAAGGCAAGGTGGAACAAGTGCAAGGTGGGTGGAGATGCTAAACCAACTTTTGCCCAGAGGCATGACTAGCTTGATGGCTGAGCAAAAGTCTGCTTTGGGCAATGTCATTGGGATGGTACACTTAGTAACTGTGCAGAGGGCATTCTTGTTTCTGAGGTTGATTGGGTTTGCACTAATGGATGCTAGCAACACATCCCGGTTGCTTGGTTGGTGCTCTTCAATAGTGTCTGCTAGGCCATATTGTTGCTGAATCCAGTGGAGTTTTAGGTACTGTACCACCAGGCTATGAAAGTCATAATCAAGGATGGTGTTGATGATTTCATACTTTGTGACACCTTGAAGTGGGGAATTCTGTGCAGTTACAGGAGACATTTCCATTGCAATGGAAATGCAAAGTGGCCAGATGTACTGCTCCAAGCTTCACAGGTTCACACGGGATGCCACAATTTTAATATTTGTGGTGATTGTTTGAGGTGGCATCTCAGATTATCTCAATAATGACATGCACAACCCCACATGCACAGTGGTGGCTCAGTAGTATGGCGAGATCAGATGTGCAAGGTAGAATTATTTTTATACATGTACATGGCCCACCTGTAAGTTTTTTGTGAAATGCTGGTGTTCTGTGAAATATAGTTCAAGAAACACACTCTGCACAATTGAACCATGCTGTTGCAGTCAAAGTGTATTGGTAGACCATACATTTCTTGTTCTATAATCTTTTCAGCATATCTTCTAATTCTCATGGGTGTTTATGATTGTGAACCAAATATTTACTCCAGTTTTACTGACTTGTAAACAACAGGAACATGTCTGTGTAAATCAAATCTATCAATTCCTATAAACTATTTAAGGTATCATTTATAATTATTACAACTGGGCCTTATGTTGCCTAATTCATATTTTTATTAAATTCCCAGAGATGTTTTAGTGACTTAAACATACTCATATAATACTGAGATATTTAAGATTAGGAAAATATATATTTGTCTTTGAAGTATTCAAGAATTTTAGACAGGCAAACATGTTATTCAAGAACTGGATCATGTGGCCTATACACAGAGGCCATTTCTTTGCATTTAAATATTTCACCTGTGGGTTTGCTTGTTTACTTAGATGCAGGACTAGTTATAAAAACTTTTAATCTAGAATGAACACCGATGGTGTGCTTTTGAGTTTGAGAGAGAAAGTATTGTGAATTTCAGAAGAATAAACTGCAATGTATATAATTGCTGATGTCAGTGACAGAGATCTATAAACTAGTAATGTAATAAAGAGGGTGCTGGATATCTTGAGTCTAGAAAAATCTTGCTTGCATTTTTAACCATGCTATAAATTGAGTAATTAGATTTTGCAAGTTTAATCTGGTTTTTGCAGCCTTTTTTCCGCACCTGCATTATTGTTCCTACTGTGTTTTGAGGACATATTCCTATATTAGAATCTCATAATACATATTTTCTGTCTCTCAGGTTTTCATTAAGGAAAAGATAGATTAATTGAGAGAGAACTAACGTTGCTGTTTTAAGCCTTTGCTCAAAATATGTTTTCTGTTAAAAATTAGTTGTTACCTGACCTATGTACTACAAATATTTGAACCAGTAAATCTTTAAACATCCTAGTTATATTAGTCTTTAATATGTTACAGCTTAAACTTCCAGTAACCAATTAATTAATCGTACAGTAAGTTATAGTGCAGCTGAGTCTTGGAGATGAGAAATAGGAAAAATTTAAATGAGGGATTATGATAAAATATGAGAATTCCTAATCTTTAGTTTACAACCTGCAGTTTGCAGAGGACCAGCATGACCATACTGAACCAAATGGAGGCATTTATTGAGATATTTATCTGATAATTGAAAATGTAATCTTTGTAGAATTCTGTATAGTTCTAAATCAAATGCCTCCATTAATGCCACATTAGTGTTGTGGATTTTAATTATATAATTTAGGATATTTGCTGCTGATGTTTGTTTTGTTGCTTTTATATAGCATAAAATGTAATCTCACTGAGACAATTATAATGTACAATTAATGTGGAATTCTCTCTTTTCAGAAAGGCCAACTGTTAAGAGGCAATAGTAAAGAATCTCTGTAATTACTTCGTTTTTTCTTTTGATTTTCTTTTAGGGGATTGAAAATGTGCCAACAACAATGCTAGGATTACAATGGGAAGTGTCACACTTCGCTATTTTTGCTATGGCTGTCTCTTTACATCTGTGACCTGGACAGTTCTGCTGTTCGTTTATTTTAATTTCAGCGAGGAGACCCAGTCTTTCAAGAATGTGCCCGTCAAGGGGCTTGAACCTCAGAAGCCGTTCCCCAAAAGATTCTATCCCCAGTTTGTCAATGGACCAGCACGCATGCTGGAATCTAAGCACAGATATGGCAAGATCAGGAACCCCTTGGGAAATGCCGCACAGGATCCCATCAAGAGTGATACAGAGTTTTCCCCTGAAATGGGTAAGTTGGAGGAGTAGAGAGCTAAGGTAGTTATTTCCGTACTGGGGAAGGCGTGGCAGTGATGTATGCATGGTCTGAAAGCCTTGGAAGAGCAGGGCAGAGGTTGAGACCATTGGATAGGTATTGACTGTCAAAATGATCCATACTGGATGGATTCAGATGTCATAAGAATTTGGTTTAGCCCTAATTTGGTGGACTAACGGCCATTTTAACACACTGGTATATCATAAACCATGATTTAAAAGCCACAGTGGCAGGGTTCACACTTTGTATTAAGCCAGACCAAAGTAAACACACCCATTATGACTTAATGCAGAGTGAACCCAGTCTCTGTTAGACAGAATAATGGCCTGTGTAAGTCTGGTTCATTGCTGTTTAACCCATGGATTCTTATTAGCTCCCTGAAAGTCCCAACTTTCATTAAGTTTTCTAAACATCATGGGTACAATAATAGATCAGAAAATATGATAGTAAGACAAATACATTTATAGAATTTGTTACACAGAGCTTTCTAAGCCTACATACAATGACACCCCCATTCCAGGAACGGATTGCTTCTTATTCATTGTGATTGATATAGCATTGTAGCTCTAACCGTCTGTCTTAAATAAGATAAACTAGCTGCAGTTTTCTGCTTTGTAGTTTTGTAATTATTATAAATGTTATTACAGCTATAAAGGTTATAAGCAGGTTCTACTTTCCTTTTTTTTTTTTTGACATAACGAGGAATGGCTAGTAGACATGTTAGCCACCGCAATTGAGAAATATGTAAACAAAAGGCCAAGAACATAAAAAAAAAAGAACGTAGTCTGATAAGGGATTTTCAGTGGCCCTTAATGCCCTTTTCTCCTTCCGGGCAATATAATATCTGCAGGTTTTATGAAATTCCTATATGCTGTATGAACAGCAAAAAAACTTACTTGGTTTGTAAGAATTCACCAGCAGCCCCCAAATCTTATACAGCTCTATTACTGTGTCTGCTTCTGTTAAACGATGGTAGCTTTCAAGTTGTTTCTTAAAATACTGTTTTAACCTACCCTCCTCTTCTTATTACTCCATAAAACAATAGAGATGCAGTATCATAATGTTATTATAGATATTATAGTATTATTACTCATGCCTGGGCATTTATGATGACCTCTGTGTCTTTACATATTCACATGGTTTTATATCCTGCCCATTTTCATTAGTTTCAAGATAGTTTACCAAAACCATTGTAGAAAGAGTAGTTTGTTTTGGAAAACATCTTTACTGGGATTTTTGAGATTAAGGGGAAATTTCAGAAAACAATTATTGACAGTATATGTACAGAATCAGTGAATTCTCTGTTTCAGGTATGATTTTCAATGAACAGGACCAGGAAGTGAGAGATTTGGGCTATCAAAAACATGCCTTCAATGTGCTCATCAGTAACCGGTTGGGATATCACAGAGATGTGCCAGATACAAGGGATGGCAAGTAAGTTTTCATATGTTCATCATAAAATAAACACTTTGTTCCAAAAGCCATATGACATTATGGCAGATAGGGGAAGCGAAGTGACAATCATATGTTAATATATGCCTTTTTTCCTTCCCTTTTCCAGGTGTAAAGAAAAAGTGTATCCTCATGATCTGCCCTCTGCTAGTGTTATAATTTGCTTCTATAATGAAGCTTTCTCTGCCTTGCTTCGGACAGTTCATAGTGTTCTGGATCGAACACCATCATATCTTCTCCATGAAATTATTTTGGTGGATGATAGAAGTGAATTAGGTGGGAGATTCTTAAGTTTTTGTGTTGCTCTAGGGCAGGGGTCGGCAATCTATGGCCCACAGGCTAGATGTGGCCTGCCCTCTGAAATCATCTGACGGAGATCCCCAAGAGAAATATATTTTCCCAACCTACGAGAGAGGACTCTCCGCCTCCTTGGGTAGTCATTTTGCCAATGGCTTCATCAGCTGCCTTGGCGTGGACAGAGCAGCGAGTCCCCTGGAAATGGCAGCGGCATGGCCTCTGGCCCCTGCACCCAAGAAAATTGCCGACCCTGCTCTAGGGAGAGTTGGATTAAAATATGAGTTGTGCTGTAGGCTTCATTATATCTCTGTCACTGTCTCAATCTCCCCTGTCTAGAATAAGTAAGAACAATAGTACGAGAGTGCAAATATTTTAGATTTCGAGCAGTAGTTTGGTATTTGAAGCAGGTTGTTCCAACATGACTGGAAGTACTCTGACAGGATTCTAGCCATTATGGGAATATTTTGAGCTCAGAAAAGCTCTTTGAAACAGGTGTTTTGAACACACAAGAGAGACATTTTGAGTTCAGAACACTTGAGGAATGTTCAGGGCAGCTGCTTCAGGACTGAACAGAGCATTTCAAACTTGACACAGCTTTTCAAGTGCAAAATGTCTCAAATGTTTTGCACGCCACCTTATACTAGTGAATTATTTTGCAGAAAAGGCGGCAGGGAGGCACAGCATGAATGACGCAGGCTGCTTCTGGAAATGGAAAGCTGGCAGTTAAATAGTAGTCTGGTAGAATGGGGTATTGGTTGTCTGCTCCCTCGCATTTCTGATTGTGCCATGGATACTGACAGACCTTTCTGAATTCCAGTCTTTATTAGAGGAGGGATGTGTCGCTTGGATTAGTCAGCTATCCCATTTCCTTCCACAAGGAAGAACACTTAACAAGGATATTGTCACAGCTGTTGGGTTTAGTTTCAGGTTTGTTTTGCCAGCCTTTTAAAATAGAACAAATGCGAGAAGGAGCTGGAAACAGATTGCTATAGAACAGTCTTTGTGTTTCTTTCTTTCTCCTATTGTAGCCGATTTGAAGGAAGATTTGGATGTATATTTAACAAAAAATCTTCCGAACAAGGTGAAACTAGTAAGAAATGAAAAGCGAGAAGGGCTAATTCGAGGGAGAATGATTGGCGCTTCCCACGCTACAGGTAACTTGCAGCACTAATACGGACAATGCACCAAACCTATGACTTTAAATAGTAATGTTATACCTCTGTGATGTGTATTTCTGCCCTTCCTAAATCAAATTGTTGGGAACAGTGAGATTTATTCATGCAGTAAATTTACTAATGCTTGCCTCTTGTCCCATGACATATAATTTACATAAACCTATAAAAGTGTAGTTTTGCACTATAAATATGTTCACAAATACTCAGTGCTGATAAATACACGGTTGCCTCACCAGACATGCTATTGTGGCCGGAACAGGTAATTGGGATTTAGAATATTATATGATAATCTGTATAATCAGTCTGCACTGTGTATTAACATGCAGCACTGTTAAATCGGGATGTATTTATACTGTTATAAAACCTTTTCCGAATTAAAGGATAATCATCTGCCCGAATCATCTACATAATACCGTTCCATTGGGTTCAACAATATTTGTTCAGCATTACAATCTGTTGAAATTATAGTAGTGATATTAGCTCAGTTCTGGACCTAGAGGTATCCACCAAAGGGAAAACATATGGAAATACGTCTAACTGAACAAATTTCACTCAGACTTCCGGTTCAATATAACTTCCCATTTATTTTGGGGGTTTTTTACCCGCTTTTTCTTCTCCTATCAGTTACTCACAGTGTTCATTCTGAGTTTCTCTTATTCATGCTGAAAAGTGCGAGATATAAATATGTCATAATCATTCCCTCTCAGAGCAATAGGATCTTGTGTGAAGGAAGACTCTTGAGCTAATGATGTTCTCAGGAGGGCTTCTGGGTAGTGTAGTCTCTTGTCTACTGTATGTCATGTATCTCTTGTGCTTTTACTTTCTCAGGAAAGGTGCTTGTGTTTCTGGACAGTCACTGTGAAGTGAATGAGTTGTGGTTGCAGCCCTTGCTGACACCCATCCAGGAATCACGCAAAACAGTGGTTTGTCCTGTGATTGACATCATCAGTGCAGACACACTTACATATAGCTCTTCTCCTGTTGTCCGTGGAGGGTTCAACTGGGGCCTTCACTTTAAATGGGATCTTGTTCCTTTGTCGGAGTTGGAAGGACCTGAACAAGCCATTGCTCCAATCAAGTAAGATATGCCAGGACCACACACTGAAGAGCACTTCAGCTTCACTTAAAACTAGAAAAGGGGTATTGTGAGTTCCTTCAACCAAAGGTGGGATAAAAATATAATAACCTTGTCATGCCAAACAACAGACATTTAATTTTATATGGAATTTTAAAATGAAGAGCGGAGAGAAGACAATGCCAGTATCTTCGATATTTATTCTCTAATCTCCACATGCATTCCCAGGGAAACTGCTTCAGTTTAGTAAGTTGAAGCCAGAACTCTGGAATAATTCCTTTTCTAAGAAAGCTGTTAATGAACAGTTAGACTTGTTAAGTAAATAATAGCTGCTATAAAATTTGTTCTCTTTTGGTTTGACTAAGGCCAACTCCTACCTTCATTTCATCTATTAAGTTTATAGGGCCACAAGACCTCGCCCTCTGTTGCCACCTTATGAAACCATAGCATAGGAAGAGTATGGGGGAATGCTGCCTCTCCCACTTGGTTAGATTTAAATATTTTCTTGACCTAGGAAACATTTCCCTTCCTCTTGTCGCCAGGGTTTCAAATACAATATATCCATAAATATATACACCTCAAATCAGTTCTGCTTTTTCCCTTTCTTACTTCCACTTATGGAAGGGCTTGGCTTTGATAAAAGTTTTCATTTTCATCTTAGGTCCCCCACGATGGCAGGAGGCTTGTTTGCAATGGACAGAGAATATTTCAATGTGCTTGGACAATATGACAGTGGCATGGACATCTGGGGAGGGGAGAACCTGGAAATATCATTTCGGGTATGTTGGTTTTTGGATTTGCTAGTGGGCGTTCTTTTTTATTCTTGGACAATTGATGCGGGCAACTTTTAGAATTGGGAGATGTTTGCCCATTATTGTTGGGTGGTCACTTTCTGTAGCTTTGAAGACTAGTGTGAATTTTGCTTCTTGACAGTTTGAAATAGCTAGAAAGAACACGGCCAAGATGAAGTTAGCTTCCAAAAAAACTCCAAAAAGGTAAACAGCAATTCTAGAGCAGTAATTTCTCTGAAATTAGTTTAGGTAAAGCATCCATTGCAAGATACCAAAAAATTTATCTAGCATATTAGAAATTATACTCTCAAATTATTGTGAGAGTAATTGAAATATTATTTAAGGGGGAAAACAGGAAGAACTGTTATAAAGAACTGGGAGACATACAATTTATGGGGCTTTTGTTACAAAAAGACAAAGCTTGAATCTAGGCAGTTGATAGATTTGTGGAGTGAAAACAATTTGATGATGTACAGAAAGCTTTGATTGCTTAAAATGTTCTCAGTCCCAATGTGGATTATGGTACACCAGTGAAATTCAGCTGAAAAATAACTTGTAAAATAGTTATATAAAACCTCTTCTTAATGAAAATAACTTCAGTTTGTGGGAAATGAACAAATATTGGATTGCATACTATAAGAGATCCACATCTCCACTTGGTAATTTATTATAGGATGTAATAGTGTTCAAAGGTTCCTTGCTTTTGCTCCATATTATTGGAGGAATAGGATGGGGGAGAACATTAAGTTTGGAAGATAGTCGTCATACTGAATGAGATCATTCAACTAGTAAGAAGATCCAGATGTAATCCTTAGTTATGCAAATAACCAAACCTATTTAAAAACTAGATCCTGTACCTAATATCACCTGTCTTCAGTAAAAATATTTTTACTAAGTCCTTCTGTTTCCGAACAGATCTGGATGTGTGGAGGCAAACTTCTCATCATCCCTTGCTCCAGAGTAGGCCACATCTTCCGTAAAAGACGTCCCTATGGCTCTCCAGGCGGGCAAGACACAATGGCACACAATTCTTTACGCCTAGCCCATGTGTGGATGGATGAATATAAGGCAAGGCTGCCACAATTGTAATTATTACCGGGTGAGGGGCAGCTATACCTGAGTATACAAGTGAAGGGGCCAAGAGAAGAACCCAGGAATTGGGGCCACATTCCTGAAAGATCTGTTGATGTTTGCTGTTGGAGGAAATAAGTATTATTGTAGCCTCTGTTTTCAAGGCATTAGTGCTTTTGATCATTGGGCTGTGTCTGGAAATTTGGACAAATGTCATATGGGAAAGGAACAGGGGCATAAGTGATGGAAACACAATATAAAACCTTACATTTTCTCAGTAGTTTTGTACTATGTAATTTTTAGCCAGAGAAGAATTTGAAAATATAGCTCACAGAAATCAGGTTTTCCCCCATTATAGGTAGGAATTGTTATAGGTAGTCCTCGTTTAACAATCACTTGTTCAGCAACTGTTTGAAGTTACAATGTGCTGAATCAGGAGACTTACAACTGGTCCTCTGTTTGCAGCCGCCACAGCATACCCACAATCACATAATCGTGATTCGGGTGCTTGGCAGTTGGCTTACAATTATGATGGTTGTAGCATCCCGCAGTCACATGGTCATCATTTGCAACTTTCACTGCTGGCTTCTGACAAGCAAAGTCAGTGGGAAAGCCAGCAGGAGTTTGCAAATGGTGATCACGTGGCATTGCACCTAATGACTGTGCAGGATTCGCTTAACGACCACAACCAGAACTGCTGCAACTACCATCGTAAGTTGGCATGGTCATGTGATGACATGCTTTACGACTATGACACTTAGCAACAGAGCTGCCAGTCTCAGTTACCGTCATTAAGTGAGGACTACATGTATGTAGATTCTAGTTTAGAATAACTGTTATTCTCTTCATGGTCTTCAATTCTTTTGAACAGGAACAGTATTTTGCCCTACGTCCAGAACTAAGAACAAGGAACTATGGAAATATCACTGACCGTGTGGAATTGAGAAAAAAATTGAACTGCAAATCATTTAAATGGTATTTAGACAATGTATATCCAGAGATGCAAATTTCTGGGCCCAATGCAAAGGTACAGCCTCCAGTTTTTTTCAATAAAGGGCAGAAGAGACCAAAAACACTGCAACGAGGAAGGGTAAGGTGCTGTTCTGACTCTTCAGATGCTTAAATCCAAGCTCTTAAAAATGTAGCTGTGAAAATTATAAAGTGGTATTTGAAGTAAAAGGAATTATATTAGTACAATATAGCAGTTTAGCTTTAAAATAAGAACTGGTTTGAAAATCTGTAATAGGACACAGTGATTTGAATAAAGATGTATGAGTGTTATGTAGTTTAGTTTCTGTGTAGGTAAACAGTATTTAATCTTTTTGAATGTCTTCTGCAGTCTGTAATAAAAACTATAAAGGGGAGAAGGTACATCATAACCGAATGGTCAGTTGCTTTTTAATCTAGTTGTGACAGGACATTTTATAGGAGCCAGCCTATCAGCTTTGGCTGCCCCGTCTGAAGAGACAAGTAGCTTGCCTAACATTTTCTCCCTTTTGGATCAATATGATACAGCTAGAGCTCTGTCCTGTTTTCCAGGATAAAAATACACATTAGCACATTCAGCTTTTTACTGCTAGTCCTTGAGCCTGCAGCTTCTCTTAGCTATATCTAGAAGGGTGCTATGTAAAACTTTAGAAATCAGCAGAAATCAAAACGATTCCTTTTGTAGCAGCAACGGTGCTCTAAAGCTGATGACTTTTTAATCGTAAGTTCTATGCAGAGTACACTATAAAGCACAAGAACCCCTATCTTGCTAAAAAATGCCCGTGCTTTGTTACAGTGGTTGATTTCTGAAAATATTGAGCTCTTCCTGTTTTCTTGTCCACTATCCACTCATATTTAGAAGTACTGTCTCCAAATACAGTAGCTCTACTCATGTAGCTATTACAGCAGTCCTAAGTCAGTCTTCCATAAGCTTATTAAGTATCTGTTTTAAGTCAATTAAGGTAATGGCTGCCATAATCTTGTAGGGAATCGAGAATCCTGGACATAAGTTTGACATCAGGACTGAAAAAAAGGACAAAATGGTATCAGAGCATTTTAACCATGCAGGCCACTTGATTATAGATAATCAAAGTGAATGACTTTCAGTAAAATGTGTTAGTGCTACCAGACTCCAATTTTTGGCTATCATAGACTAACATGGCTCTCCTCTTACCTTACATGAAACTAGAATCCCTTAGCCCTCTAGCTGATGGATGGGTCAGAACACAAAGACTTCCTTTCTGTTCCCCTATTTAAGTTGAATTTATGTAAAATATTATCAATCCGTTTGGGATGCTTATATACCCTGAGAAACAAAGCAGTCCTACAGGGTTGTGTAGCTTGCCCATAATTAACTCTGTTTCATCCCATCTCCCTCCCCAGTACTGCCAATATATCTAGTCCTTGCTTAACGACCACAATTGGAACTGGAATTTAGGTCACTAAGTGATGTGGTAGTGAAGCGAATCATCATGTGACCAGACCCGATTTTACCACCCTTTTTGCAGCGGTCGTTAAGTGGATCACTGCGGTTGTTAAGTGAATCACGCGGCTCCCCATTGATTTTGCTTGTTGGAAGTCAACAGGGAAGGTCGCAAATGGTGATCACATGACCTCTGGATGCTGCAACCGTTGTAAGTGTGAGCTGGTTGCCAAGCGCCCGGATCGCAATCGTTACTGTGGGGGTGCTGCAATGGTTGTAACTTTGGGCACCGGTCATAAGTCACTTTTTAGCACTGTCATAACTTCAAACGATTGTTAAGCGAGGACTACCTGTAGGATGGTTTGTGTTTGGCTGTGTTAAATTTAATTCTGTCTGTGCTGGACTATGACCGCTGTACTTTCAGTATAAAGTCCTGTGGGGATGGAAATTGGTTTGTAAGACTGATTTTTTAAAAAATACAATCAGTGTGCCTGCTATTTATTTATATTTATATCATCATGTTTTAAAGCCACCCAGTAATAACAGTCCTCACAATGTTCCCTCTTCCAGAAGTAATGCTTTTCACGACAGAGTGGTGCAGTGGCACACAAGGGGATGGGACGGCTTTTAAGGAGAGACTTGTGCCTCTGCATACAGTGTGTCTTTTTTGCCAAGCAGATTCTTGGCACAGCAGGATGGTGGCAAATATTAATGATACTATGAGCCAAATATTTTATGGTCCTATATCATAGCGAAATGAAGCCGAAATGTTAGATGATAATTTATTTTTGAAAAATCTCTACTCCTTCCTTGTTGTTCCTCAGAGAATAGAAGAATGTAAGGAAAGGTGACTGAAAATTTTACCTCTGTTCACATTGGATGTTCTCTTATCAGTGTGCTTGTGTTTCTTTTCCTTGCAGCTGCATCACCTTCAAACTAATAAATGTCTGGTGGCGCAAAGCCACCCAAGTCAGAAAGGAGGACTTGTTGTGGTCAGAGAATGTGACTACAGTAATAAAAATCAGGCAAGTTTTCCTAAGCCCTTGCTTTGTTTTGCTAGTTTTGATTCTCTGACATGTTCTGTTCCTGTTTTCTCCAAGGGCTGCTTTACTTCAATCATTCACAGCAAAATTGTACAAAAACAAAAGATATATCCTAGGACACCATGTCATTGTTTATTCAGATCATTTTTCTATTGGACACTGTCTGTCTATCTCATCTTAAAAGACAGTCCCAAGTATGACACATTGCAAAAGTCTATTCTAGAAGTGGTTGTGACCGGAATTATTGTCACAAAGGTATTCTACTCGAGAAAGGCTCACAACTGATACGGTAGCCAAAGCTAGGGAAAGGCCTCCTAGCCTCTGTCTGCTGATCTGGCAGTAGCTTTGGATCCAGGTGGTCCCCCAAGTCGTGGACCCACTCCTTCGGGTGGGGTGATCCTATGTAGGAGTCAGAATCCTATCAGTTTGTTAATGTGTAACAGTATCCCTGCCTTGCTAGGGTTCCGTGTCAGCCTGATTTACCCCAGCCAGTCTCGCAAAGTCCCTGACTCTGGGTGAGGATCTCCACGGCATCTCTGGCTTGGCTTAGTATGGTGATGCATAACTGTGTTTCATCAGAATATTGATACCTCACCCTAAACCGACCTATGACCTCTTCCAGCAGCTTTATGTAGATGTTAAATAGCATGGGGGAGAAAGCAAAGCTAGGGCTTAACTATTCATCCTCCATTGTTATTGTCTAGAGGTGCCCACTGCTCCCAAACTTGCAAGCAGTACAGCAAGATACTGTGGTCAGTAGTGTCAAACACTTCTGGAAGGCTTAATTGGACCAGGAACTCCACACATTTCTTCCAAGTCCCAACCAGTGTCATCCACCAGAATGACCACTGCAATTTCTGCCCTATATTCAGGTTTGAACTCTGGAAGGGATGCAGATAATTTGTTTCATCTAGGACCCTCTGCAAATGTTGCCCTACCACCTTTTCCAGATTCTTGCCCCGAAAGGGAAGATTGGAGACTGGTGGAATTCATTAATGCAGTGAGACTGAGAGATGGCATTTTCAGGAGAGGACCTAACACTGCTTCCTTCCGGATGTCTGGCACCACACACTTAAAAAAAAAAAAAGTTACTTCTTGAATCTCCAGAGACAGAAGGAGTCTGTCCCAACTGCCTTATCCCAATTCAAATCCTACATCAGTCAAGCTGCTCTGTGCATCTGATGAAGGGGACTGCAGCTCATAAAAGCTTGGCTTATGCCTTACAAAAGGCAATTAATAATAATCATTAGTCAGAAAAGGTGCTACCAGACTGCTGGTTTTTTGTCACCATTGACTAACACAGCTCTCCTCCTACAATGCCTAAGCAGAGACCGTGGACGTGATTTTGCAGATGCAGTAGGAGTGGAGAAGACAGACTGCCTCACCACTTTTATTGCCACAGTGTTGTCCTGAGTGTGGGCACATCCTCTGATCAGTCCTATTCACTTTTTGCCATCCACCATCATTGCTCCATGTTGTCTTTTCTGTTGCTTTATATTCTGGAGCTCCTAGGCAATCCAGAGAGGCCACTGGGACAATCTCATCCAGGGTTCTCGCCAAAGCTGTTTCAGAGCTTGATGAGGTGCATGGCAGAACTGCCTGCCAGATTGCTGCGAGTTCCTCAAGCATATCCTGAAAACCAACTAGATCCACACAACACTTGGGCCAAACCATTCTGATTGGTCTTCCACCCTTGCTGACAATCTTAACCAAGTGATCTGGCCATGACAAAGGAGATGGGATTCACTATCCTCCATGTTCGGATCAGATGCCACCTCCTCCAAGGTCCAACTGCTGAGCTCACTGGGAATAGGACCATGGTTGCCCTGGAGACCATGAACTCCTGAGACAATCTTTGACCCTACTTAGACTTTGTTTCATTATTTTGGCAGTAATTCAATAAGCATATCAATTCTTCTGCCGCTTTTACAGATCTTTATTATCGCTTCTACTTTTGCTTCAGGATTACTGGTTAGAAGAGGCTTGTTATACACCAGGCACATCTACTTCCAAACCATGTCTTGAGGTCTTGGCATTTTGTCTGCATCTGGGTTAACTTTAATTAGGCAGTCATTTCTCCCAACAACAACAGACAGAAGACGAAAAGTAGATGTCTTGCCTCCCTAGCACCCCGCTGCTCTCCTTGAAAATCCTGATATCCTTGGCCAATATCCTTGGCCTTCAGGATTCTCAACAGTTGATAAAAAGTGGTTTGTGAAGGAAAGCAGTGGGTTTTTTTGTATTAAAACCAGCCCAATAGGTGTACTTCTCTTGCTTTGGGAGGCATGCAGCTGAAGGTTACGCAGCCTCTTCCCAGAAGATAAGAGCCGCATTGCCTGGCTCTTTGCAGGCTGAGCCTCTCTTCCCTTGACCCGTGCTTTGTCTAAAAACTCTCCTCGTTTCCCTTTGAACGAGGAAACTTGCCAGTGAGTCCTCCCTCCTCTTCATGCTCTGCAAATACAGCCCAGGGCCTGGCCTTGTCAGGTAGGTGGAAAAGGCTCAAACATTTCTCACAAGCTTAAATACGCATTTGAATATCGTTCGCCTGAAAATGCTTATGACTAGCTGATATTTATTTTGTCTTTAAAAGGAAAAGTAGCCCTAAATCGGAGCTGCACCTAAGATTTGGTAGTAGAGTCCCTATCTAAGAGCACCTGATTGGCTGAGAGGTAGCCAATTTTGATCCTGAATATAAATGTTCTAGAACCAGCCTTACCCAACTTGGACCCCTTCAGACATGTTGGGCTGTAAATTCCATAATCCCCAGATAGCAGAAGCCTGTTGGTTTAGGGATTATTTGTGGGGTAATCTAGATTTTGTAGCCTTTCTGGAGGCACTAGGTGGAGGAAAATTATTCTGGATACAGTAGTTTAGGGCAGTGTTTCTCAACCTTAGCAACTTTAAGATGTGTGAACTTCAACTTTCAGAATTCCCCATCCTGGCTGAGAAATTCTGGGAGTTGAAGTCCACACATCTTAAAGTTGCTAAGGTTGAGGAACACGGTTTAGGGCCTTCTTCTTAGGTCAAGTTATTCTTATGACTATGCAGATCCAGCTGTTATTTGGGTCAGCAATATCTCTGAAAATTACACCCTTAAAACAGCATCTTTTCCCGGGGTTGTGCAGCAGCTGTCACCGCCATTCATTAGTTGCCAGAAAGGTATCTGCAGTTACAGCAGATTTCAGTCGTTTATTCACAAAATGACTCAGTCTTTTCTCTGTATTTCACATATTCACAAAAGGAATGGTGACTGTTGTATCGAATGTTAGTCTGAGTGTAGCACATCTCTCTCTCTTTACACACAGAGGAACAAGATTTGACCATCCAGAGTACAGTTTCATAGGTTAAAAACCTGCAATTTAGGTTTATTACAGAAAGGTAGCCAGCTGAATAAACTATAGTAAGCCATGGTTAAAGCTGTGTGCAGCTAACATGCAGATCATTAAAAAATGGACAGGAGCGTTTCTGATCTAATTTGGCATGGCTGCAAGGATGAAGGCAAAGAAGCGGTTGGTCCTTGGGTCATCTTGTAATGAGAAGCCGGGGCTTGTGGGGAATTTATAAGTTCTTTTGTGCTGTCAAAGAATGTGGCTTCTGTGCTCTGTTGGAAAAAGAGGTGACTGATACACCAAAGAAGGGCCATTGATTTTTTTCAAGTGTTGAAATTAGTCTTTTAGGTCATAATTCATTCTATTCACTCATGGACTTTCTGTTAGGTTTAAATGTTTATTGTTACAGCCAAACTTACAAGCTAGTTTGCACTGTGTGGACAAATACAAACCATAATCTGTAGATTGGCTTACATTTATGCGCAAACCGAGCTATTCTGTAGCAAGTGAGGAAATAAACCACTTTTTAAATTCCATTTTTTCTGGAATCCTTTCACTATTTCAGAAATCAACTACTATAGATTAAATATAGAACAGTGTCTTAGGTAAAGGTGTGTTCTGTATAGCATCACATTTCCAGCTTGTTCCATTAGTTGCCTTTCAGATGTGTTGAATCAACTCATGCTGAGTGGGATTATGGGAATTGGAGTCCAGCACATCTGGAGAACATCAGGTTGGGGAAAGGTGATCTGAACTTAAGTATTGCGTGAAACAAATCTAATGAAGCTGGAAATATGCCTATAAAACAAACAGATGGAAACAAGTGGCTGGGGGGGGGCTGTTGTGGTCATCCAAACAGAAGCAGACTTGATACGACACTATTTGTTACTTGCTTGGTGTATATTCAACTTACTACACTGCCCTTTCATTCAGTGTGTGTATCTGTAAATTCTAAAAATATACAACTAATTTTATTAATTAATGGTAAAAAGTATCAGTTTGGAAACACGAACCTGCCAACCAAGCTATTTCAGTAGGCTCTGTTCCTGTTCAACAGCAGCTATTTCTGTATTAGAGTATTTCTCGCCATTCCATCTGGATGGTGGGAAAGGGTCACAGAAGCAGAAGTGACTTGGTTGGTTTGCTAATTGCATAATTTCCTTGGGTAGCCAATGTCATGTAATCTTAATAAAATTGTAGTAAGGAATAGTAAGTTTTGCTCTAAGGGGGAAAACATAAGCAGGACATGAAAATGTGGTGAAGATACCGTCACAGTGGAAGAGAGGTGTATATGGTTGTCTCTCACTTTAGGAGTTAAATCATCTTTAACTCATTGATTCCTAATTATCCTAAAATATTCATAATCTGTTGTCTTAGGTATGGGTTTATAATGAAGATCATGAGCTGATCTTAAACAACCTCCTGTGCTTGGATGTATCTGAAACTCGCACTTCCGATCCACCGCGCCTTATGAAATGCCACGGGTCAGGAGGATCTCAGCAGTGGGTACTTGGGGTAAGTGAATTTTGGCCAGGATGAATTTCAGTCTGTAAGGTCTAGCTCTCATTAAGTTTATGTAAGCTTCAGAATTGTCTGTTTATGCATGGATTAGTTCCCATTCACAGAGACTGTTGAGAAAACTAGATATTCATGAGACTGCACAGCTGTAACCTTAACCTGGCCATGGATCTTTCACAAGGTAAGGCCTCCAATTAGGAATGCGCCCCATGGACAGAATAGGTTTTGTCCAGTTTGAGGTTTTTGAAGGCTTAGATCCTTGTTTTTCAGTACACTGATATTTTGATTGTGGTGTTATTACTAATTTCCGTTGGGGGTAGGACGATGCCATAAAAGTGCCTAGGCTTCACTCACTAATACGAAGTGGTCATGGTCTAAATCTGGAATCGTGAAGCGGAAATTCCCACATGGTATTTTAATTTTATTGCTGACTAATAAATTTATAGAAGCAAAATCTACTTGTTGAAGAATGAAAGGTGTGTCAATAACAATCTGTGCCTGTAAAAACTGGATGAGTAGGTTTACATGGGGAAAGGGAAAAGCTTGGAATATGTATCTGAAGTTGGTTTTTTTATGCTGCCATGATGATGTCAAAATAATCGTTTTGATAAATCTTAGTTCATTCAGACTGGAATATTAAACAGGAGCTGGCCCAGGAGCCCCTAAGTAATCCTATGAGGCTGCCGACAGGAATGACCTGCTGCAAAAATAGGTTTGGAAGGGTTTTGTCTCACCTGTTCCTTCTCTCTCTGCAGAAAAACAATCGGCTGTATCAGGTGTCGGTTGGGCAGTGCATGAAGGTGGCTGATCCACTTAATCTCAAAGGCTACGTCAGCATGGCCATTTGCGACGGCTCCCCCCTTCAGCAGTGGCGTTTGGAGAGCTGAGTGCCGCCTCAAGGAATGCCCACTTCCGCAGTACCTCTTAGCGAGCTGCCTCTGGAAGGCTGGCAGTCCTTGCTGCTATTTCCATCCCCGAACGTTTAAAGGAAACTATTTTAGGGATGGTTAGAAATCACAAAGGTCTGCAGTATTCAAGCGGAATAGAAGCTGTCGCGTTCCTTCCCCAGTCTCTCTGCATGAGCAGAAGTGCGGTTACATTCCTTGGAGTTCAACAGTATATGGAAATATTCGGAGTAATCATTAGGACAGTGTAATTAAATTAGCGAATGCATTTAATGAAGTGGGCCTAAATGGTCAGAAACCTACCTTGTTCTGCCAGTATTTCTTGCAGAAGTATTATGGTACTCTTTTTTTTTTCATTTGAACTGATAGCTGGAATTATTTGACTGATCTGGGAAAAAGTATGTTTTAGCTTACCCCTTTTTGTAAATAATTTTATTAATTTTAACGTAATGGTTAATTGTGCATCTGTCATTTGTCCTGTAATATTTAAACTAGTTCAGGATGTCATTTTGATGACTCTGGAGACCATCCAAGTAGCATGTCTGCTCCAAGGCAGCCCCCAACGCTCCCCCACCCCCCAAAGGCTCTCTTGTGTGCCAGGGAACCCTCAGGGAAGCCCACAGAATATGAGTGGAGGAGCTGTAGTCTCAGAGCAATGTTTCTCTCACGCTGGCTGAGGAATTCTGGGAGTTGAAGTGCCGACATCTTAAAGTCGCTAAGGTTGAGAGAGACTGTGTTAGAGGATGATTAATAAACGAGGGGCAAAGAGCAAGTGGCTTATGCAGGGAGGGACGGCCTTTCTGTTCTTGCGAGGCACCTTGGAATGCCACAATACGAAACGTTACGTTGCTTGATACGAATTACGTTGCTTGATTTTTGCCATACCTGGTACTTCCCCATTTCTCTGTGAAGGGGTTTAAAGAAAAAAAAAACTTTGCTAAGTGCTTAAAAGTTACTGATACACGTAAATAAATATTGGTGAGAAGCTTGACTTTGGTTTTGGACCAAAAACTTTCATTGGGAAACCTGGTCCTTAATTTATGCAGTGCAGGTTTAAGGCACGTTTTAAGGATGTTGGTGTTGCAAGAGGTATAAAAGATTCTTATATTCCTTTTTACAAATCAGGCAGCATAGGGAGTATTACATCTACAAAAATGCTTATGATTTATCTTTGCAGTTTCATGGAGAGAAAACAAGTATCAATTTTTATATATTTTGTATTGCATTTTTTATTATTAACACTAGGTGTTATTGACACTCATATTAGCAACTGTCCCATTGGTCTCTAGTGTACATTAAATACTTGGGAACCTTACTTATCCTGTTTATGGTTGTAACTTTTGTAACAGTACTTTTGATTTTATTTTAGTGAAACCAGCCATTCTGTTTGCGGTAGAAAGCTCTCCCTAGTCCTCTGTTTATCAGGTTACCTAATACAGGTAGTCCTCACTTAATGACCAGAATTGGGACCAGAATTTAGGTCGCTAAGCGATGTGGTCATTAAGCAAATCACGTGACTGGACCCAATTTTAAGACCTTTTTTTGCTGTGATCGTTAAGCGAATTACTGCTGCCATTAAGTGAATTGTGGTCATTAAATAAGGCACATGGTGATTAAGCGAACACCACGTTCCCCACTGATTGCCAGAAACGAGCTGGGAAGGTCGCAAATGGCAATTGTGTGACCCCGGGACATTGCAACCGTCATAAGTGTGAGCTGGTTGCCAAGCAACCGGATCACAATTACGTGATCGCAGGGGGCACTGCAATGGTCATAACTTCAGGCACCGGTCACAAGTCACTTTAGTGCTGTTGTAACTTTGAATGGTCACTAAACGAACAGTCATTAAGCGAGGACTACCTGTAAGAGTTTGCAGAATCAACTGTGGTATGTTCATATGATCAAAAGCTCTGAGAGAGAGGGCTATAATGATCTCAAATAGGCTTTTTTTTATTCCAAAGAATAGAGCAGGTTATATAGCTGGTAAGAATGTCCGGAATGGGAAAAACTTACTTAGAGCTACTAACATGATCACTGATTAATGTAACTTACGCTAATGCATAAAATATCTGCACAATTATGTTTCTGTACTTTTTATATTACATATGCACCTGTCTTCATAGAATCAGGATTTGGGTACAGCATTGGGCTATCTAAGGTATCCTCTTAATGGCGAAAACAGCCTCTTTGGTGTATCCCTGGAAGTAATATATTCAGGATGTGCTGCATCCTGACACAAAGGAAAATATTAAAGTATTTATAGATGTAAAATATTTTATTTGTAAATGCCGATTTTCTAAATTTATTTCCACAAATTTCAAAGCCCATAACACTCTGTATACTTCAAAAATTCATTTTTGCCAACATTAGATAACTATTATACAGAACAGAATAAAAACCTGTAAGACAAATACTGGTAGGATGTTGGAATATTGTACAAGAGAAGAAAAATATTCAAGAAACAAATTTCATACAGCTATTATCAAGAGAAAAATATATACAATGATTTATTCTGTAAGATAAAAATACATCATGCCATATACATTACAAGTTCAGAACTGTATCGCTGAATATACTACCAGTTTTACAGTCCACTTTAGCTGTGCACACAAAAAACTTCATTTTTTTTTAATATTTAGACTGTGAAGTGTCAGTACCAGAATTTAAAGTACAAAATAAAAAACTAACCTGGTTCAAAATGTTGATTAGGGTTCTACAAGCAAACACAAACAGTGTTTATTTTTTTAAAGAAATGTAAACAAAAACAATTCATACAAACACATTTTAAATTACTTTTTTCAAAACCCTATTGGCAGAGTCCTGCAGCTGAAAGCACAATTACCTCTAATTTTTTCCTTGATTTTACTTTTCAAGAAGGCAGCTATTGTATTAGACTTACGCGCTCACTACACATTTCTATTTTCATTACATGATTTTAGTTTATATGCTGAACAGGCCATATAATCTCCACTATTTCTGTTGGAAAAGAAAATCAATGTTCAGCCTCTAGTTTGGGTGGTTTTAGCAGTTATTCACAGTTATCACAAATTCTACACACAAAAAAAAACCTGATTTAAGAAATAGGGATGTGACAATATAATACAAATAAAATAGGTCAGTCAGTCTAAATTTCCTCAAACATCTACAAAAGTCACTGATGTAATTTACATGCTCTCTAACCAATTTGAAGGGTTACTTTAAAAAGTTGTTAATACAGCATAACTGAGTCTGCTTTAAAGATTAAAAAAATAAAGGAAAATCTCTCTTAAATTGAGATTTTGGTTACCCACGACAGTTGTAACGACATGTTTAATACATGAGATCATATTGTAACATCCCTATTAAGTTTAATAAGCACCCGAACTGCTGCAAAGTCTGGTAGCATTTGGTCAATTATTATTTTTTATACTGTACTTTTTTTCCTCAAAATATTTACATTTTTGTACAAAGTAACAGGGTTTGTTAGTTCTGCAGGTAACAGCAGCAGCTTGGCTTCTAACTTTTCCTTTTAAAAATAGCTTCATTCACTTATTCAATAATAAATACAAAAAGTTTCTCTTATTTTACAGAAATCAAAACTACAATAAACTGACTCATGGAATCAAGTATTTTAAATGTATTTTAGTGCAAGTTATTTTTCCCTTAGCTCTATCCCTAAGGAAGTCGTTTCAGTACATTCCTTGTTCAGTGGTGTCTACGTTTTTAATTTTTTTTTTCCTGTTTTTAGAGGGCCCGCCCCTTTAACAAGTAAGGCTGTGGCCAGCACTTTGGACATCTCCCTTTCGCTGGTGATTTCGGTCTACATTCATTGGTGCCCCACTGTCCTTCAGCAGGTCAGCCACAGCTTCTCTGCCCGAGTTCAATTTCTCTTTAGTGAGTTCATGAAATCAAAAGTGCTGGACTGGTCTGGAGATCAGTTTCATTTCTGTGTGCCTGAAAAGCCAGGCCATAACTCCACGTTCTGCCAGCTTGCTTCTGGTGCTCGCTTTACACTGGAGTAGAAGACAAACTTTAGAGAAGTGATTGTTTCCATACACATACACACCCCTACCCTGCAAATTAACAAAATCAAAATCACTTCTTCCTTGGGACACGCAGCCCTCAGAGAGAGTAAGGAATGCATCTAGTTCATCCATTTTCGGCAGTTTACAGCCCCACAGTGACATGGAATCTTGTGCTGGTCATCTTCAAAATCAAACTTATAGTCATAACAGAGCTGAAATAAAAATGGTCATTTAGGCTTAGTTATTATTCCAGAGTTAAACGATAAGCGCGTTTTCAACATCCTTATTAAACATCTGTGTAAAAAAATTATAAATACAGATCTTTAATACACAGACAGCCCAACACTTAAGAAGAGGCATCTAACAGCTGTCTTGGAAGACAGCGATCAGCTGGCCTAGAGCTAGAACTGGAATGGCTGGATACCATTCAAGTCTTCCCTTATTATTTCCTGGACAGACCTCTGCTTCTGAATTGCTTTTTATTAACATATTAACATTTTATTAATGTGTTACCTCTTTCTCTTCCTCTGCTCATTGCTCTAAAGGGAAACCAACTTTTTCCACAAACAAAGCTCTTGGCCTGGATTTTGAGAAAGGGCAGATTGCTCCAGCCGCCGAAGGGACTTCCACTGAGAAAGTAAAAATTCCCTCCAGACCCTGAATAGATGAAGACACTTTGGGCCACGTGACAAACGTACCTGTCAAAAATCAAGTACCTAGCATTTCTCTCAGAAGCTGATTTTTACCACCTGATGACAGTGCCAGCCAGACAAATGTTTAATTTTCAAAGACTTAAAATGCTATTGTTCAGTAATTGTACACTCTTCTCTAACCCTCTAGCAATCAAATTTTTGGATACTGCAAACTAGGATATCTATTCCATCATTTATTTCAGAATATCTTTTTGTTTACTCAAAAAGATACTAATGTCCTTTAATGAGCTGACATCCTGTTTTTCTTCCATTGGACCTTTAAGGCTTAGTAAGGAAAGTAAACACATTGTTGGATGTCTCTATAACACAAAACCAGAAAAAAACTTCATGGGAAATGCCCAGTGTTATAAGAATGCAGTCTAGGGTATAGGAACAACATGGTGGTTCTTTAGCAAAATTCCAATCTAAATTTCAAGGAAGTTGTAATAATGCTAAGCTGGGCATGAATCTCCACAATTCAGTTCACTAGACATCAGCAAAATGAATCCATAATAACCTTTGAGCAAGAAAGAATTGTATTTATAACCAAATATTTTGTTACTTGCAAAAAGAAGCAACAGAACATTCAGTAAATGAATATATCCATAGTACTAAAAGCCACATAAATCGTACCTCTTCCCCCTTCTGGATTCTCCGGCTAGAGCTAATTATGATTTTATGTCCCCGTTCAAAGGTTACCACCTCAGCCACACAATTGGGTGCACAGGAATGGTTAATATACCTAGAAGGGAGGGAGGGGAGGGAAGAGAAGCTTATTTTTATATGCTGTAAAGTGATTTTACTGTATAATACTTGCATAGCTTCTGGCCAAGGAAAAATAAAATTATTGATTTAAGTTAGGAAAGGAGACAACAAGGCTGCAATATATTAGGAAGGTAGTTTACTACTAGAACTAAGCCAACTTAGGCTGTTACGGAAAAAGGGTTTCATGTGGAGGCTCTCAGAAGTAAACAGAATGTGGGTGGTTTATACCCTGCCTGTCCTTCAGGAACTCAGGATGGCATGTAGAGCACTCCCTCCTCCAGTCTTTCCTATGATAATCCCATGTAGTAGGTTAGCTGAGAGAGAGTGTCTGGCATAAAGGCACCCAGTGAATTTCCATGGCTGAAGGTGGACTTGGACCTGAATTTGACCAGTTCTAGTCCAACACTATGTTCTTTCTAGAACTACCTACCTTGCAGGACCTCCGGTCAATGTGGCATCAATGACATGATCATTATCTATGCGGAACATGTATACTCCACGATTCTGAGGGGGGGGAAACAGAAAGGGGGGAAGAAAAGACTAAGCCAATATAACAAGTATCAATATCCAAATAAATGATGCGTAGCTGTTCCTGAATTGTAACTGGACAGAATCCAAAGGCTTACTAAAAAATTGGAAACCCTAATGTATTTTTTCCAACACAGCAGCATTCTTGTTAGGGTTCTGAGAACAGATAACAAGAAAAAGAAACTCCAAGGAAGGCTCAAACATACCTTAATCATAGTCACATTCAGCCTCTACACTAAAAGGATCACAGATGACAAGAATATTGCTATGGTTGGTTCACAACATACATCTTTTATCTGAACACTTCAAAAAAGGATTCTGTTTATATATATTTGTATTTTTATGCAGTCCTTAATTTTCAAAAGCAAGAGAAATCATGTTGAAGGAGATCCCACTGCTTCAAGTAGTTTGTAAACCAGATTGTAAATTTATAGGCGGCCTTTCCCTTATTTAGGACACTTAGCATGATGTTATCAGTGGAAATACAGAAACTATTCAAATCCATCAGAAAAACTGCATTAAAAGCCCTATAAAATCACAATTAGCTCAGAAGGCCTGGATGAAGCACTATGGAACTCTTGTCCCCACTAGATCCACGTGTCCCACAAAGGCTTGAAACAGGTCAAGTTGTCCTATGGAATACCTGAGATTCATAAAGCTTCTCCTTCCTGTTGGCTACTTCATTGCGGATGATGGTTCCAATATATTCAATTACCATAGTGTGCTTTTCAATGTCTCTAGCAGCATATAAACCCAGGCCCTGAAAAGGCAAGAATAATTTGGTAACAGAGCACATCACTGGCCTTCTCTGCTGGTGTAAATGGATCCCAAAATCTCAGCACTGCCACTTAAGACATTTTAACAACCCTACAATTCCCTTCAACTAATGCTACAATGATTACTGAGAGAAAAGTCCAACTACGTTCAATGGAGGTTAATCACTTGCATTTTAAGAGAGTTGCTCAAGTAGGCAGCATACAGATGCTGGTAATAAAATAAACAAATAGTGAATGTCAACTAAGGATAAGTCAGCATGAATATGATCCACTATTCATGTAAACGAAAGAACAAATAACAAATACATGATCCACTTAATTAAATAAATCTGGTATTTCCAACATAAAAAATATAGTTAATACCTTCCCGGCTCAAACTGACCTGAATACGCGACCGTGCCAAATAGACATTGGACTTCCATTCAGTCTTCATTTTTCGATACTGAGAAGACTTTGAATGAACAAACTGTTTACTGTAAGGTGCATTCAGTTCTCCCGTAACTGTGCTCTGAAATGACTTTGAAGTGCTGGTGCTATTCAAGGTATGAGGCCTGTACCAAAGGGTCACATAACAGAAGAAACGGAGAAGGAAAACTGAAGATCTCTCTGAATGTTGTAACATTTGGAATAATAAAAAAGCTCCTAGACGAACAGACATTCAAAGCCACCTAGCAGAGACACTAAAGCAGCTGCCCCGACTTGGACGAGCCACATACACAGCCAAAGACAGCAGGGTTTGTAAGCAGCACACAGAAGCACAGATATCCTAGGAGCCTATAAACCCTGGGCTGTACTATGTGAATTTAAAAGAAAATACCTTAACACAAACCTCTTGACATGGCTGCTCATTTTGGGCTCAGAACGAGCGCAGCCAGTGGGGTTGATGGCGAGAGGCAGCTCCATGAGGGGGTTTCGGCCGTAACGGAAGGTGTAACGCTCGCAGGCCTCAACCCCAGGAAGCTGTAACACACAAAGAGGCCGTAGGTCAGGGAAGTTGTGGAAGAGACAAAGGAAAAACCCTTGACGCTTGAAGCAAAGCAGAACTACTGATACTCTGCACAGAGAGAGGAAAGAAATACAAAGCGTACAACTAAGAGGATTCCTGTTTCTTCCTATTTTCTTTAAGAACACGGATCCCCAAACAGGTACTAGAAGCCCTGTTCTAACTTCTTGTCTGCAGGTTTCAGCTATAATATGGAAGAAAGGAACTTACTTGAACATCACCCCAGGGGTGGGAAAACTTTTGGGCTGGTACATGGTGCTGCCTGGAGATTGCTGGAAGTGTGGCTGAAACCTGCACAGCTCGATTTTTCCCCCTGCTTTATATCACCTCTGCCACCACACCACCAACCAGGAAAAAGGCTCTGATTTTTTCCCCAAAGGAATGTGCGCGCGTGTGTGTTTTAAGGATGAACAGGTACGTTAAGCTCTGCTGTTTCAACTGTAGCGCTCTCCTCTAATTTATCCTATAAATAATTGCCTTATGTAATAAAATAAATAAGCTGGATAGCCAGTTGGGTCTAGTGAAGGCCCCAGGCTAGAAAGCAGGAGAGCGTGAGTTCTAGTTCCGCCCAAGGCATGAAAGCCGCTGGGAGACTTTGGGCCAGTCCCTCCCTCTCAGCCCAACTCACCTCACAGGGTCGCTGTTGTGGGGAAAACAGAGGAGGAAGACACATTAGGTATGTTCGCTGCCTTGAGTTATTTATAAAAATAACAAAGGCGGAATAAAAAATAATCTAAAAAAACATTCTGATTTTTACTAAATGTGAATAAATGGAGAGCCAGCCTGGTACTGCTGCCCAAACACTCACTGATTCAGCTATTCTAGCCACTGCAGAGACAGTCAGGCCAAAAAGATCTTCGCCCTTCAGATATGCAGGGAATAGCTGGAGCATTTCGGAAGTTTTCCTGATAGATGCAACAGGCTCTAGGATTTTATCCCAAACATCTGTATAGGGAAAAATACAATAAACAGTGGAAATACAGAAAAAGAACCGGATGCTCTGCTCTGTTTATGGTTATGACATCGTTTAAGACCAGGATGGGACACCTGTTATTAGGACCCCTAGTAGCTCTAGCCAATACTGGCAAATTCTGTGGCAGGGTTACAGATTCACCAGACTGGATTTTATACCTGCTGTGGACGTAACGCTGGAATAGTATAAAATGCGAAGGTCAAGGCTGCAGGCTTATTATTATTATTAAAACTCCCCAAATAGGTTTTAAAAGTGTTGTTACTAGCAAGAAAGGCTACATTCATTATATTATTTATTTTGGCCAGGCACTGCAAAATAGAGTGAGATCACAAGTGACAGTGACAATGATAATTAACATTTTCTAAGAATATTTATCATAGGAAATAGCCTTACATTTTACTGGGATAAAATCTTCAATGATCTTGCTTCCCAGCACTAAGTACATCCTTAAACCAGCATAAATCAAGGTCAGAATTCTCAAGCAAGCAATCTCCTGGCTAAGGGTAAAATTCACTCCTCCCATGTTTTCTTAAAGGCTGAGGGCTGTGAGGGAGATTAAGTGTGGGAACAGGATGCAAGCGGGTCCCATTTCCCTCCTTCAGACATGCAAAGCAAGACAGCCAAACTCTCATGATGTGATTTCAGGCTGGACTTGCTACCAGCTACCAAAGTAAACTAAGAACCGCCACCTGCCTACAAATATATAAATAAATGCAGCACTCAGAAAGACTGTAGGCTATCTCGGAAATAGGTGAGCTGTTGTCCTCTAGGTATTTTAGAGATCAGCTCCCCTCAGTTCAATCAGGTTTGTCGCCCTGGCGTAGCTAATCCCCCACCAGGGTTCCCAGGATTTTACCTTACCTTTTGGAGTCAGGTCAGTCAGAACCAGGTCTTCATGCCCTTGCTCAATAACCCTGATCACAAAAAGGGGGAAGCCATCCTTCTCTTCAATGGAACACAGGTAGCGACAGCGGCGGTTGGCGTACCGTATGCTCCAATACAACCGGCTGGCCTCAAACCCCACCGGGTAGAGCACCTTTGAAGAGTGGAAGGCATGCATCTGATGCGGCAGCAGCTGGCCAATACTGTGGAAGATAAGGCTCCCCACCCGGAAGGTGTGCTCACGGTCCCCCCGCTGTACGATGCTAGCGATCTGTCGGACTTCGTCCCGCTGCACGTAGACTCGCCTGAAGACTGCAAAGTAACTGAGTTCTTGCTCATGAGCGCCCTTCGGTTTGTGCATTGGGCAAAGCATAGTTTTGTCTTTAAAAAACATGCATTGTGCTTTAATGGCACAGGTAAAGTGATAAATATTGGTGCACCTTAACCTGTGGCAGCCGCTGGTAGCACCCATCTTGTGACAGAACACGCATTTCATTTGCAAGCCCCTCCGCAGAGCCAGTTCAACGTTGATTAAGGCACCAGCTTGTGTCTCGTAGACCTCCGTGGACCAAAGAGCACAGTTCAAATGAACCCAGAGGTCTAAGTCCAGATTAAGAAGTCTTGCCGGTCCATCTGTTAGTCCATCGCCCTCTTCATGACAGAAGCAGCATTTTCGGTAGTCTTTCAGTACAGGATCAGGTTTAAGGGTTGTGCCCAGTTTCTTGAGAAACTCATCTATCTCCTCTTCACAAGGAGGCTTGAATGTTCCTTTAGGAATCACAATCTGTACATTCCATTTTTTCCACTTCATTCCTTTCCATTTCTTATTTACCGGTCGACAGTCATCAAGGCCATTGGGTATGGTTCTTAAGCGGGGTTTCAATTTCACGGTTACCTTAAGTTCTTCTGGTTTGGGCTCCACTTTGGCTGCTTCAAAAGCAGGAGGAAAAGTAATAAGGGGTGATGAAGGGGGAGAATTTTTTTCCTGCAACTGAGGGAGGCAGTGAACGTCGAATGTAGAGATGTTGGTGTTATACTGGTGGAAGGCTTTGGGGGGTGCCTCTTTCATTGAAAATTGGGTTATGGGAGGGACCGATTCCTGAGAAATAATCAGAACGGCAATTAGAGGGATTCAGCAAAAGTTATGCGCGTGCAATATTCGAGCCAGATCACAGTCTTGTATTAAGTAACAGAAGTTTGCATGATTTAACAATCACTTTGCAGGACTGAATGGTTTTAAAATCCAGAACTGAGAATTTTAAATAATGTTTAAGAAAATGGAATTGCAAAAAGCTTCTTAACCAAAAGGATCTCTAGTTTTGAAATGGACACATAAAATCTTGATATGGAGCATTAGCTCGTACCCCTATTTCATGTTAATAAGGGGATTCCAACTTAACCTGGAGCAGGTTCAGAAAATGCAAATTATATCTGCATAGTGGGCTATATATCTATATGCATATCCTTTGCCTTTTCCATGTACAGTCCAATGCACTGAAGATATGAATTATTCTTAACAGCAGCAGCGTTCTATTTTATTTGCAGAGGCAAATCTGAGTGTTCATATTAAACACTCTGTGTGAGGTAGAAGGACAACCTGAAGTAATTTAATTTACTTATAATTTTTTACCTTTTATTGTTAAAATCAAATTCCAGTGTGGGATTTGTTAAACAACTATATTTTCCCATTAGTGTAACAGATCATAAATCCCAACATCAACTGCAAAAGCTTGTAAGGTGTGTGCGAGGAGTCCACATTTTCCCTTCAAAATCAAGATTGATACATAGAGTTTGGTTTTGTCATTTTTAAAACACTTTAAGATGCACACAGGTCCTTTGTAAAAAAATGTGAATCTTCATTGCAGATTGGTGCAAAAAATGGGAAACAATTAAATATACATGATATTGAAAGAGCTGATTGCTCTTGATTTTCTAAATAACATTTATTAAAATATACTAAAGCAGTGTCACCACAAGTATGTGAGTATGTTAAGTATTTACCTTGCTTTCTGAATTTTTTGCTTGCACGGATGCTGAATAAAGAACTAAGCAATTGTTACTACAGAAGACAATGTCTTTCTCCATTCTCTCAGACTTCTCTCGGGAATCCTGAAAATTAAAAAAACAAAACAGAACAAAACAATAAAAAATGACAGAAACACCAAGCTCTTCATAATCTGTAGGAAGCTTATATTAAGACATGGTTTTGGGGGAGAAATTTTCTTTACATTGGGCTGGGAAAAGCAGTTATGTATGCATTCAACATTATCACTTTTAAGGATTTCACTAATAACATACATTTATAACAAAATTTGCTCTCCAACATACAGAATGGATAAGCTTGTTCACAGAAAAAAATGAAATAAAATACTGCCTTATGATTGATTACATGTTCACTTGGTTGTTAGCTGGTAGTGAAAATAATTTCAGGCCAAATAAAATTTGATGGATGAAAAGAAAGTGGAGAGATGCTAATTACCTTGAGACATTCTGGTATTTATACTGAGAATATATAGAAATATTTGTATTTTTATGCCACTTAAATGGCAGAAATGTGATCAAGATTAAAGAGAGATAAATAACATTCAGTGCTATACAAATTAATCCTGTACTATCAGAGACCATTTATTCGTAAAAGAGCAATTCTTACATTAAATAAAGCAGAGCGGCAATCGTAAAATATCTATACAGTCCAAGGTTTAAAAAAGAGTTCTAACACCTCAGGTGGGCAAAACGTTCTGAGCTGAAAATGGACATTCTGAGCATTCTGTGCTTGAACAAAAGGAACAGCATTGTCTTGAGCAGTTTGGGGTATTTTGAGCCCCGAAATATACTTTTGTTTTGTAGATTGTGACTGAGCTGTTGCATTTCTTCTTCCTTCCCAACTAAGTGGTAACACAGCCAGGCTTCACCATGTTTTTACTGCTACTGCCTTAGAGCAGAGAAAGTGACACGGGGTAGAACCCTGGGCACAGCATGGTTTCAGTTATGTGAAGTTAGTGTTCATGTGGGTGGACTGTGCCATGCCTTCTTTTGCAGACATGTAGCTTACAAAAGAGAGCAAGTAAATGCAGATAGAAGAGGGTGGGTACACAAAAAACAACAGATTTGCTTCCTATAGGTTCTTGAAAAATGTTTTAAAAATAATCTCCTTGGTCAATTTCAATGCAGGTTGGTCAGCGGGAAGTAGCTAGCATGGGCTCCCCCCCTCCCCCCCCCCAGGTTTGGTAGCCTTGGATTGAAAAACAAGGGAGTAAGGAACCTGCTTTGATTCTTCGTTGTGTCATATCATTGGAACATTTGATACATTTCAAGTTTTGTTCGGTTATAATATGCAGCACTCAACTGATTTCAAATTTTGTCCACTGGAAATACAGCCAACTGGAAATGGAATATCCCCAACCCTCTGGTAGATTTAACACTCTAAGGAAAAACACAATTAAAAGTGGAGATCACATTTACAGATATACCTGTTTCAGGAAATGCAGTTCTTTGAAAGGTTTTCGCACTCCACTGCCCAGTACTACCACTTTACAATGAGAACACCACTGTGACCTTAATGCTGAATCATCGGCAACATTTGGACTTTGTGCTTTATATCCTGCCAAAACTTAAGATGAGAAGAACACAGATTCTTTTAATGTATGTATCATTCTAGTGTAAGTGTGCTTGTCCTTACAAAGCACCTGCTCCATGACCACTAATTTCCTTAATAACCAATCCTTAAAACAACATCCCATCCCATCTAACTTACTTTGTCATTCTTTGTGTTATTTTTTTTTTAGTGCCTTCTTTAACAGTTTGGAACTAACTGTGATTAAATCACTGAGATCGCATTCGTTCCCTTAGAAGTGGTACAACACCCAACCCCACAAATCTTTTATCAGAACACAATTGATCTTATGGACAAAAATATAAAAAACAATACAGAAAACTTATTTATTTTCTTATCTTGAAATCTCTCTTTCAAATCTCCAGCACCAAGTTCTACTTCATGTTCGTAAACAAAATGTTAATGGTCAGACACTGACTCACCATTTCCGCTTGACAAAAATGGTGTATTATGTTGCTTGAGTCCATAAGGTCCTGTTAATCCAGGAGGGCCGACAGTTCCTGACTGAGAACCATGAAGGAGTACGTGTTGCCTGTACTCAAAAGCTGGATTTGCTCTGTGCGGATTCATTATTCCAATGGATGATGGAACATCAGATGCATTGCTAATTTCATAACTGTTTGGAATTCTGACATGCAGAAGATTGGAAAATGCAGCCACCACACTACCAATGTTCTAGAGTGGAGAAAAGTAAGTGTATAGTGTCTCTGTTATTAATCAGATACAGGTAGTCCTTGCTTACTGACAGTACTGTAATTGGGATAGGGAACTCTAAGGCACAATGTCCCATAACTGCGCCACCTTACGATGGCAGTTCTGACAGTTCCAGTTGCCACTGTTAGGTGAATCCCGTGTGGTCACAGCATCCCACAGTCACGTGATTACCATTTGCAACTTCCCGGTGGCTTCCCTATTGACTTTGCCTGTTGCAAGCCGGCAGTGAAGGTCGCAAATGACGATCATGTGGCTGCAGGCAGAACACTATGATGTCGTAATTACGAGCCGGTTGCCTAGTGCTCAAATTGTGATCATGTGACCGCAGGGACACTGTGATTGCTGCAACTATGAGGACCCAACGTAAGTCCCCCTCATTCAGTGCCATTGTAACTTCAAACCTTCACTGAACGAATGGATGTTAAGCAAGGATTACCTGTAATTAAACAGCACTGAGCTGAAATACAGAAGTGTTAATTCATTTATTTTCCATTCCTGATATCAGACTCACTCAGTTTGGCTATAGAGTCCCATCAGGAATTTATTAAGAATGAGGTTAATACTTCCTTACTTCATGTTATTGTTTCATGGTGTAACACGAACACATTGTCTATTGCAATATTGGTCTCACTGAGATGACTTCTCCGAACAGTCCCCATTGCTTTTTTGATAAAGAAGATCAAGAAAGTGGCAGTTCAAAATAGGCTTAATGGGAAAAAATCCCAACATTTAAAAAAACACAAACCCTCATAATTCTTTTTGTTTCAGAATTGCTTACGGGCAGTATTTCAGTACTAGCCTTTTTTTTTAAGGTGTCAACAAGCATGTAAACAAGAGTAGCCCAACAGATATTGTATGCTTGGAATTTCAAATATCCTTCCCAAATCAAAGAGTTGTGAGCAAACTCAGCTGCAAGGGAATAAGAGAACCAGCGCTCCTATGTACTGGCAAGTTATTAAAATCAGAAGACAGACTAGGAATAAATGGGCAGTTCTCACATATGAGACATACAAAGGGGTTTTTCAAGAGATCAGAATTAGGACTGGGGCTTTTTAGTTTGGATATAAATGATCTGGGGTTAGGGTTAAACACTAAGCAGCCATCTTTGCTGATGATACCAAATTGTTCAGAGTGGCAAAATCAAAAAGAGATTGTGAAATGGTCCAAAAAGACCTCTTTAAACTGGTCACACAGGTAACAAATTGGCAAATGCAGTTCAGGGCAAAAATGTATAAAATGGTGCATGTTAGTCCACCAAATCCTAATTTTACTCTAAATTAATGGGATCTGAATTGACTTGATCAGTTGACTGATCAAGTCAAGAAAGGGATTTTGGAGTGACAGTGGGTAGCTTGAATAAAAACCCAGTAAAAGAAGTAAATTCCATAATTAGAATTATCTGGAAGGGAACTGAAAACAGAATTGCCAGTGGGATAATGTCCTTATCCAGCATATAGCAAAGCTAATGAGTTGACCCTTTATGACCCTATGATATACAATTCAGTGAAACCATACTGAAATTGCGTATCAGCGTTTAGTACAACAGTTGACTGCTGTAGAAATAAAATTAACAACCAAGACATCAGTAGCACACTGAAGGCTGCACCCAGCAACATCCTGAGACAAGCTCGCTGGGTTGTGGCATCTTTACCTCTGCAGCTGTGGGATGCAAAGTAATGGCAATGGACACAAGGCCGGATTCTGCGCCATTTGGGGCAAGTCCCAGCTGAGAACCAAAGAAACCTGAACAAGGCTCCGTTTTGATGAAATTTTGCTTTGCTTCTGAACCTTAATTTAAAGAGAGGAAATTAAACTTTAAGTCACATTTGAATGTGGTTAGAGAAATCAATACATCTGTTTAGAAGGAACGTTGGCCTTACCCTTTCCAGTACTGGCTGGCAGAATTGGAATGACAGGAGACGGAACGGACTCTGGCATCTCTTCTTTTACTGCTGACAGATCTGGGTACCTACTTATTTCCATGCCCATGACGCTCTCAGGGGAAGAAGAAGGAACAAAGCTATCCGGAGTATCTCTATCATCACAAGGATCCTGAATCCTAAGACACACAGGAGAACCAGGACTTTTGAAAATGCAGTATAGATGGAGACCAAGCATTTGATTCAGGAGAAACGGGAAACGGGAAAAACAGAGCATTTTGAACACTGAAAACCACACTACATGGAGGAACAATAAAAACAATTGGCTGAACTGGCAGCCTACCTCATCAGTCTACCTCCCAACCTGAAGCCCTTGGAAATTCCCAACCTGTCTTGCTACCTCAGAGAACTCAACAGCACAGACATCATTCTGGAGCAATGGATTCTGCTCAGTACCAAAATGCATGAGGGTTATCAAGCACAATGCAACGTTCATGTCTTTAAAAAAGACACCTACCTGAGCTCTTCGTGATTGTTATGAGGTGGGGTTGGAAGAGAAGCAGGCACATCCACACTCTTAGGACCCTGAATTATGGCTCTGGCTAACAGATCATCCTGTGGCCTGAAAGGCAGCTGAAACTGCTTTGAACCTAGAGCTTTGGTAACAGATGTGATGCAAGAACAGATTAAACACATTACTTAAAACATCTATCTGAGTGGACTGGATTCATGAACGCTTACATGCGTCTCTGAGGAGCCACGGGACTTTTTGCTAACATTTTAGTAACATTTAACAATGTGTGACATATTCTATGCATGGACCATTCCAGTTTCAGTTTTGGGCAGTTCATACCTGGACCAAAATGTGTGTCTTTTGTCTGAATTTGAACATGTGTTCGGAGTAGGCATATGTGTTCCAGGGTAGGAAACAGCAGGGAAAAGGTAAAGATAGCAGTGAAGGGAAGTTAAAGGAAGGAAGGTGCTTGGGCAAGGGCAGGTGAGCCTGGACCAGTTGGATCATGTTGTATTGGGATTTAAGTATAGGGGTTGCAGCGAAGGAAAGGGAAGCAGAGACGGAGGGATGATCAGTGGGTGGGCTGGCAGAGAAGAAGGGTGGAGAAGGTGAGATACATCAACCTTGCCCTGTTTGACTTGCAAGACCCATTAAGAATCTTGCTTGGTTGAAACCAAGAACAATAAAAATAAGAACATCTTGGGAAAAAATTGCTCATAGTTCCCCATTACCATAAAATCAGGAAACTGAAAATGCTTTTCCATAATGGAGCCTGTATTATGAAACAGCCTTCCCCTGGAAGTTAGATTAGCCCTGATTTTTTTTTTGCTTTCAAGATGGAGCTCTTCCAGGTTTTTTTTAATTAGTTGAGAGAATATAATAGGTATATTATATAGCTCTGATTTGATTATGTGCCATCAAGTCATTTTGACTTTTAGTGACCGCATAGGCAGATTTTCTACATAATGGTGTGGGTAGCAAACATCTTACCATCAGGTCCCCCCAATATTCCAGCTTTGGTAGCAAGTTCTTCAGTAGTTGCAAATCCATTTACAATTTTTTGGCAAGTCACAGGTGGAGGCGTAGGAGGAAGGGAGGCTGGAGGTGTAGGTGGGTTACTGAGATTATTTTGCTGCATGAGAGAAGATACTTTAAGTTAGTTTTTAATAGGCTTATTGGGTAAAGATGCATATTTAATAACAAAACTAATTACAAAGCAGCAGTCAAAATGCATTAGCTGAGTTCAGACTGAACACCAAGCCATGGTTTCGGTGCTATGAGAACAAGCTAAGAGGACTTCCAGTTTCTTACTCCCACTTTGGTCTGCATGCTCCAAATAATTATTTGCTGAGTTTTCTATTATGCTAAAGTTTAAAGTTATTTACCAAACATACAAATTATGTCTGGCACTACTTGCAGGGCAAATGCAAACCACAACTTCTATGTTTTGTTTGCTGTTCTGCATCAGCTAATCCAGAGCATATATATCAAGTAAGGAAAGAAATCACACTGGTTTTTGTTTGAGAACTGGCTCTCCAGTTCTTACTGAGAGTGAGGAGAGAAAGGCATGTGGTTCAAGAGCAGATTTTAAAGTAATCTTTTGCAAGCAGTAGGGCGCTGCCGAAAATGGGGCAACATGAATCTTTGTGCCAGTGAATGGATGGGCATACATCAAAAATCACTTTTTAAAAAACTAGTCTAGAATTAGAATGGGAGGTATTGATTTGTTTAATATTCTTCTAATCTGCCTTTCAGGGCAATTCTATTTTACTGGTTTTAACCTCACTTTTGAGTGTGCTCATTTTTGTTTGCTAGTTTCTCCAGATAAGATGTATCTAACTAACTAACTAACTAACTACAAAAATCCACACACAAGTGTGGTGTTAAGTAATGCCTCCAAAGGTGCTCTCTCACATTGGTAGATTCTTGAGTCAATGGCATAAACCCTACAGAAAAGCTTGCAAGAGCAAACCGAAGGCCTCCTTAGAACAAGATCCAAGGAATATATATACTTAAAAAAAAAAAAAGAATTCTGTATCTCCTGTTATGCATCTCCAGTGATGTACATTAAATGTATACAACTTAAAATAAAACAAGAAGCTATTAAAATAAATTTTAAAATATAAAAGAGCAACCACTGGTAGGCTTTAGTCAATCAGTTTTGACCTGCTTCCCAGATGGGCTGTTATCTGGTTACTCAACTGTCCATCCAAAAAGGAAGAGACAGGTGGGTAACTTTCAGGCCATGACATGTGGCCTGTCTTCTGGCAAAACAGGGAGGCAAAAGAGGAAGATGGTTAGAATTATTTTATTTTACAATATACAAGATGTGTATTGTATTATTACCCATATAGCACACTGTAACTTATTATAATAATACAATAACATACAAAACAGGGACTAAGGCTAAAACAATTTAAGGTCATACCCTACGTGACCATAAAACTGGCTGGTGGTCTTGGGCCAGTGGCCTTCCCAGCCAAACCTACCAGAGAGGGCTGTTGATAGTGGGAAACAGTGGGAAAGACAGTCATGATGGCATAGTCTTGAAAGAAGGATGAACTGTAGCTATAATATAAGAATTGTAAACCAGTGGAAGAACAGATGAAAGAAAATGATTTACCAACAGATTCATCTGGCACAGTTGTGCAGAAATACAGGAAAATCTACGTGAAATGAATACAATTCACAGTTGGGAAAGAACTCAGATTTTCATCCCATTTGCTACAGTCTTTATAATACATTCAGGAACTCTTTATTGAGGCCTATTCTATCTGCAATAGTCCATTCTGTTATCAACAGGATACATTCAGGCAATGCTGCCACCTTTATTAGTTACTGAGGGATTTCATATCCTATAATTCTTTGACATCTCCAGAAGCAATATGTAAATGGTTTTGACATCTCTAAAAGCAGTATGTAAATTAACCAGTAACAAATAGAAGAATAAAGACAATAGCCATCAGGGGAACAAGAATATGGTTATTTAAAAAATCCTTGAGGAATAGAGTGGTTTTGCCTGGTTCTAGAAGGGGCATATCAATGAATTCTGGGCAAATCTCCTGCTCACCAATTACCACTTGTGGAACTCCAAAGGGGGAAGCAATTAAAGAAGGGCCTTGTGATGGCCTCTTACCTCTGGGGAAAAAAAGCCCTGCTCCTTTAATTTAACAGTATTTTGCATTTCCATTGAACTGGTAAACCAGGGCTGCTTTGTTAATATAGGAGACTTGGATTATAACTTTCACATATGCATCTGTTTGAAACTCATTAAAAGAGTACTGTTAAGTATAGGCTTTAATATGCCACAATACTTTCAGTGAAGGGGAAGGATAAGTATGAAGATGAAAAGTGTGAGTGACAGTCTCAAGAAATCCTAAGGTATAACAAATAATGAATCCCACTTTTATTTCTTATAAAATGTTTAGAGAATTACATAGAAAAAGAATACACCTTGTAGATTAGCTGAGAATAGTAATCAGATACCCCATCAAGCGTGGCACTACCGAAAGCTCCCACAAGCCGACTTCCACTATTCTGATGGCTGCTACCATACGGGAGAAAGTGGGCGAAACTCACTCCAATCATTGGCTCCATTAAAGGCAGCAAGGAGAGTTGCTGGAGGAAAGATGCATAATTATTATCATTCTTGCAAGCTGATCGCAACAGATAAATTACACTAAGAAGATGGCTCCTTTTAAAAGCTTAAGCAATTTAGATACAAGCATATATCATTCCAAAGTTTTCCTTCCTCTAAGCAAAATCTATCAATGCTGTACATCCTAACTTGCATAGCTTGTTCTTAAAAAATAAATAGTTTTGCCAGCAAGAGTGGCTCTCATATGCAGCAATTGCTGTAGAACCTTTGGTCTTAATACCATGCTTCCAGGATACAAAATATTGTTCACAATGAAATTACATCTAGTGAAAATTGCTTTCGCCATCATCAAAGTTGCAACCATTCTCAGTTCTCCAGGCTCACCTTCAGATTGCAGTTTTGTTTTAAACTAATAAGAGTTTGGTAGCTGGTAATGTAAAAAGTTAAACAATAATAACAAAAAGTTGCTTTTAATCTTCTTTTCTCCCATCAGACCTTCTTCCTCACCAATATAGCCATTATTCCATTCCCTCTTTTGTCATATCTGCCTTTCCTTGTCTTCCTTCCCATTTATCTAGCTGAGTTTCTTCCTTAATACCCCTAAGAATTATTAAAGTTTGGGCAAATTCTGCTAAGTAAGATTACAATCCAAATTGCTTCAAATAGTTTCAGAAACTACTTCTTCTCTAATCTAGTAAAAGTGGTTTATTTGGGAATGAAAACTGGATTTTGAAAAAGCAGGATAGAAAAAGTACTGATGCTTTTGAAATATGGAGTTAGAGAAGATTCTTGAGAAAACATGGATAGTCAATAAAACAAACAAATGAATCACAGAACAAGCCAACCCAGAGTTTTCATTTGAGGCATAAATGACTAGGCTCAAATTATTGTGCTTTGGATACATTATGCTAAGACCTAGCTCTCCGGAGATGTCTATAATGCTGGAAAAGGTGGAAGGAAAAAGAGAACAATCAGCAGCAAGGACTCCATTATAGCAGTGATGGGTGCTGTACTGGAAAATCTGATGGGCTAGGTTAGAGGCAGGTCATCCTGGAGAAGCTCTATCTACATGGTCGCTAAGAGTCAACATCCACTTGTTGGCACATAATCAATCAATCCAATAAAAAGTGGTCTATTAGAAGGTGCACAAAAGAGGAAGCTCACTAACTTCTGGAATATTTTATAGTAAATGCAAGGAGCAGGCAAGCATCAAATGAAACCAGAAATGCTCAAGCATTTTTCTACATGTGTAACTGCTTTGAATAAGAAAACAAGCTAAAAATACAAGAATATAGATACACAAAGACCGAATATAAGCTGACATTTTTCAGTGGTGCTTTTCTGCCTCCTCCAAACTTTTCCATAACGGGTTGCCCTTTTCCCCTTCAGTCCTCACCTGTTTCAACTGCATGAAAGTTTCTGTGTTAGGAAAAATAGTCTGTTTTTCCTCTTCCTCTTTTTTTTTCCTCTTAGGTCGAGATGTTGCCTTTTCACCTGTCCTTTGAGTTCGTTTGTTCCTTTGTTTCTTCATTTCATGTCCTAAATCTGCTCTCTGAACTTGGCTGTTACCACATCCAAATGAACTCTGCAATGGATTCCCTAATGGCTGATTAAGGAAAAAGCAAAATGCAGATATATACTAGTTCATATCACTTTAATAAGAAGTCCTAATTTTTCAAAAATCACACCTTTCCCAAATAATGCTATTATAAATTGAACATTGAATTTTGATAGTGAGACTACCTATCTACCTTCCCACCCATCCACCCAGGTCACCTAATAATACAATCATAAGTATAAAGATAAATACCAATGAATATGTAGCTTAGGTTTAACTGCATCCTCAGTTCCCTTATCCAAGTTCAAAACCAGCCCTGACAGCTAGAAGGGAGGAGAATCAATTGCCTCCATTGTCTTTTCTTCCAGAATTCCACAGAAGAAGCCGGGAGTTGGATTGAGCCTGAGCCTCAGAGGTCACAGTAAACAGCACAGGTCTTCCCCCATTACTGTCATGATTGGCAGATGTTTTCCCACTGGCTGGGGACATCTGGATGCTGGGAAGGAAAGCACCTACTTTATCAAATACAGGTAGTCCTCACTTAGCAACCACAACTGGGACTGACAACTCCATTGCTAAGTGACACGGTCTCTAACGAAACATCACGTGACCTTGATGGACTTATGACGTCACTTCCCATTCCACTGTTAAGGAAGACATCGTGAGACCCTGACTTGAGATTTTACTGCTGGCTTCTCCATTGACTCTGCTTATCGGAAGCCATTTGTGAAGCATGCAAATGTCAATCAGGTGACCACGGGGATGCTGCAATGGTCATAAATATGAGGATCAGTCGTAAAGTTACTTTTTCAGTGCTGTTGTAACTTCGAATGGTTGCTAAAAAGGGCAGTCATTAAGCAAACTACCTGTACACACTGCTGGTGTATAATCACTAAAGTCCTGTTGATCAAAGATGGAAAGTAAAGTTTGTCTTCCCTAAGGTAGGAGAGGAGTGGAATGTGGGCAGAGGGAGAGAGCATGGGAATCTAAAACTATGTTTCCATCATAAAAAACCATGTTTTATAATGATGTCTGAAATGGCTCAATAAGTAAGAGAAAGAAAAAAGCCCAAAGGAACAGTTACATTCTCCTTCTACATAGATGTAAATCCCATTAAATGACATATTATTCTGAGGAAACTGTATAGAAATTAGCCTTAATTATACTACTTTAGTAGCTATAAAAGAAAGAAAAAGATGTACTTAATTTTTGCAATCATATGTTACATATGAAATTATAGATAGCTAAAATGGCAGAGCTGTGGTAAAAATCGATCTAAATGGCTAAGAAAGAAATATCTGTTACCGAGCAACAAATGATTGTGGACACCAGCAAAGCACTTCCTGCCACATATTTTCCAATATCCTGAAAGTCAAGACGTTAATATAAAAAATATTTACCATGCTGCTTTCAGCCAACTCCTGTTTTTCCATTAATTTGTTCTCCTCGGCATTCTCTGGTAAGTGGAAGCTGCTTTCTGATTTCTGACTGATATGACTGGCGGCTTTTTTGTTCTTAAGCAAGTGTTTGAGGAGTTCATTCCCTGATTCCCCTTTTGCAGCTGGGATGTTGGTAGGCGGTGCCAGATTCTGCGTGGAAGGGGAATGCTGAATGACAGCTTTATCGTCTTCCACTTTAATGTCCCTTTCAGTCTTTGCTTTAGATTCAGCTTGACTAGAGCACTGATCAACTTCTGCCTTTTCTAGTCTAATTTCCTGAATGTTTGCAGAAATATCGGTCTTGACTGTGTCTGTTTCTGGGTTTAGACTTGACTGCTCAGGTAGTTTGTTTTGTGGCAAGCTGCTCTCAGCAAGCTGACCTTTTAGTTCTAAGGAAGACTGACTCTCGGCAGCACTTGGTGCTGGTGGGCCTGGCACTTCTTCTCTCTCCATTTCTCCTGAATTGCGTGCAAGTTCACCAGGAGTGCTAACGGTTGGGGTGGAGACAGCATCTGAAACAACCGGAGTTGGAGGAGCAGTTATATCTGAATGAGGCGTTGATGGCGTATTCACTGAGTCAGCGTCATCCTCTTTTTTCTTTTTTCTTGTTCTTTTCTTTTTGCCCTTCTCCTCAGGAATGATATCAGAATACAGCTGAATCAGAGACTGATTTGTCCCAGCCAAGTTTGTGCTGGGTGGCATGCTGGAGTCCTGACTGCAGGGCAGACCACTGCTAGTTCCTGGAGAAACTGCAGGCACACCAGTGGCAAATTGAGGCCTAGGCTGGTACTGTGTAAAGCTGACTCCAGAAATACTTCCATGGGGCTGCTTAACAGAATGGTAAGTAGAGCTTCCATCCTGAACTGAGACTGAATCAGGCGCAAAAGGAGAAGATCCCACCTGCTGCCGCTCACCGCACTGTTGAAAAGTGGCTGTAGGAGGAGAGTTTAAGGGTCCTGGTTGCAAAATTGGTCCTATCTGCTGCTGCTGCGGTTGCTGCTGCAAAGACTGCTGAAGGGGCTGTGGTGGCCTCATAAAATCACAAGGTCGATCCGAACCAAGGTAAGGAATTTGAGTAAAAGATGTTCTAGCATTTAATTCAGAGCCCACCGTACCATGCTGCTCCATTTCTATCCTCTGCTGCAGAGCTCTCTGTCGATCCACCTCCTGCATAAGCTGAATACGTTGCCTTTCCTGCTGCTCCCGCAAGCGCTCTTTTCGCTCTCGTTCCTGGAAGCTTTCACTAAATGGGTTATTGTCCTCAAATTCCACACGAGGTGGGGGACCCGACTGCACACTGGAACTGGGTGCTAATACAGAAGGAGCTGTCCCAGGATTAACTGGCAGCTGGGTTATTGGAGCTGGCATTCTTGGTGCATTGAGGGAGAGAAGTACTGGAGCATTTGGAGGTTGCCACGCAGGCAAACCTGGGATTCTCGGTTGATTGGGTTGGCCAACAGTATGTTGTTGATGCTGAAGCTGCTGTGATACCATTGGGAAATTCTGCTGGCCCATGGCAGGTGGTGACCCTCCAGGGACCATGGGGGGTTGAGAAGGAATGCCAGGCATCCCTGAATGGGGTCCCAATCCACACTGTTGCTGTTTGATCCGATATTCTTCAATAAGCTCTGCGTGCTCCTTTTGCTGCTTTCGTATCTGCAAAATTCACCTCGTTAACTGACATCCCAAAGAAACTTTTTTTCTTTTAACAAAAGAAGTTGGCAGGCTTCTGAGACAAAGATGCCTAGATATCTTCAAGTCAAATTCAGAGTACAGAGTTTGTAAGCTTTTCTTAATTCCTATTCTGACTAGCAAAGTGATCTTCATTTGGACAATATATAAACTCCCTCTGTTCTTATCTTGATTCGTTTGACTTTTGTTTGCCCCTGAATTTGTTTGTGCACACATTTATTATCTACCAAAGCTAGTACTTCATGTGCCAGATAGATTCTAGTCTATTCAAGTTGATGACACAATACGATTATTAGCTTTTAATATGTCACAGGACTCTGTTGCTGTTGTACTTTAGCTTATTTCAGTTACAATATAATTAGACTGACTATATTTTTAATCTACTCAATAATTGGATTATATCATTCCAACATATTATAAGTGTTAAAAATGGTTAAAATCCAAACTCCTGGGAAAAATGAGTATGTTCGCCTGGTGCTGAAAGTATCAACAACAACAACATAACATCTGGATAATATAATAATATATTTTATACAATATAATTATATAACAGTATCCAGTATCCAATATCCTACATGAAAATAAGGCCTTGGCTTAGAAACATTACTATATAATGCACATTTAAAGCAAGCCAAGAATTAAAATAAGTACAAACTGCAGCAGCTAAAAATCCTAACCAGTATAAAAATAACAGCATTTAGTAAAAAGCTAACCAGAATGGAAAAGGTTTTAACTAAATCTTTATAATTTGCTAATAAAAAAGTCACAGAGATTCCTAGGAAAGGCATTTCCAAAGATGTGGATACTACTGTCTCTAATGCTTGCCAAGCTGATGGCTCTTGACGGCAGGCCAGAGATTAGGGCCCCAAGGCTGATTTCAAGTCTAGGACAAGTGGGAACTTGCTCCAAAATGACTAATGGATTCCAGTTTCCAAACCAGCAATTTGAATCACCTATCAGAAATAGGTGCAGCATTTGTGTGAAATTATCAGATCACCTGAACCCCATAAGCATCTTTCTTGCTATAATCAGTGTTGGCATTTATGAGTGTCTAAAAAGTGGTTCAACACAGAACATAGCTCTCTCCTTGTAGAATATTCACCTTCATTTGGCACTGAAACTACTATCTGGATATTGTTATATAATTATATTGTATAAAATATATTATTATATTATCCAGATGTTATGTTGTTATTGATACTTTCAGCACCAGGCGAACATACCATATTTTTCCGACTATAAGACGATACTTTTTTCTAAAATCCTTACCCTAAAAACTGAGATGCTCATAAACACGCAAGCCATTGCGCCCCTGGGAGCCTGATGGGGACTTGCATGTCATGGCATCATAACGCAAATGAATAAATTCTAAAATTTGATTGATGCAAATTAAGATGCTCATAAACACGCAAGCCATTGCGCCCCTGGGAGCCTGATGGGGACTTGCATGTCATGGCATCATAACGCAAATGAATAAATTCTAAAATTTGATTGATGCAAATTAAGATGCTCATAAACACGCAAGCCATTGCGCCCCTGGGAGCCTGATGGGGACTTGCATGTCATGGCATCATAACGCAAATGAATAAATTCTAAAATTTGATTGATGCAAATTAATTTTTTAATTTTGGGCTGGAAAAGTGGGGGTCGTCTTGTACACGGGGGCGTCTTATTGTCGGAAAAATACGGTACTCATTTTTCCCAGGAGTTTGGATTTTAACCATTTTTAACGCTTATAATGTGTTGGAATGATATAATCCAATTATTGAGTAGATTAAAAATATAGTCAGTCTAATTATATTGTAACTGAAATAAGTTCTACTTTATCTGGATGAAGGGACGCCTGGTGAAGTGCTCCAATGCTAAACAAACCTAAAGATGCTCATAAACACGAAAGCCATTGTGCCCATGGGTGTCTGTAGGGGACTTGTATGTCATGGCATCATCATGCAAATGAATAAATTATAAAATTTGATTGATGCAAATTACAGAATTTGCATCATTTGCATGATGATGTCATGGCAGATGTGATATCACTGTGGCTTCAACTGGGTACCTGTGTTTGTGGTTCCATAGGTAACGCTTTGTCTAAGAGAACCATGAAGAAGTATGCCTAGTCCTCCATGAAAAGAATCAACCTGCCCAAAGCCAACTGAAAACCTCCATCCAGATAAATGATTTCTCAAGCAACCATATCTTCACTTTATTTGGAATAGGGTTCAGTTTGTTTACCCTCATCTGTTCTAGACTGCCTCCAAGCAAGATTAGTAGGTAGAAAAGTCAAGTTATGCGCAATTTACATGCTCAGCCTAAACTCCTGGATGACCTCACCCTCTTGTTTCACATATGTATTAGATGAAGAATTAAATAGAAATCTAACCGCCAATGACAATGGAATCCACCATAATCTAGATCTGACTCCTGTAATACAAAGCTGTGAGAAGTTGTAGTACTATCACCTGCTTTGAACTTACTCAGAAATATATTCAACAATATCTCTCTTTCATAGCACTGTGATGAAAAAAATCCCAAATACACTGTCAGTCAATGTCAGCTTCTCTTTAGTATTAGTAAGAAGATATCCTCACTCCATCTGCAATCCTGTCTCAAAATAAACTGTATCTCAACATAATTACCAGATGAATACCAATGAGTTAGGAGAGAGAGAGGAGCAGCATCAATTATGAACCAGAAATCTTCCTGGCTGGAAACCCTCCTATTTTCATAATTTCAGTGTGGAGAGTTGGGTAGGCTGCCTTCCTGCAATCTGGAACCTTCTGTCTGGGATATTCACACTACCAAGTCCTTTCTCACCATTCAGTTTTCCTTACTTCTCAGTGCCGCAACTCTTTTTGGTAGGAGAACTGGAACTTACACACATGTTCCTTGCCTTCCAGGGTACCAGGCACAGATCCTTGCTTAATTTGATAGGCTGCTCCAAATTACCTGACTACACTCCCCAAGAAGCTATCTCCTCATCATGAAACTCTTCTCTGAGACAGTGTGTAACCCACAATTCTTTCTGCTGCTGCTGCTAGTAAATCATCAATAGTTGGCTCTAAGTTGCCCATGTCCCACCTAAGGTCTTTCAGGGAGTGGGCTGTCCATGAAGTATCCACATATCCAAATATTTTATACTTGTCTTGAATCTTATGCCTGTTTCTTCATCCATTACCTCTTCTTTGATTTTTAATGCTTACTATTGCAACGCTTCATTATGAATCACATGGAGCCCAAGAACTCTTACCTGCTCCAGCTGTTTTTGCACCATGCTCTGCTGCTCAGTGACGTGCTTCAGCTGCTCTGCATCCTCTTCTGGAAATTCACGTCCAGCTTTCTTTGCTGTGCGCTGTTTTGCAGAGAGGGCTTTCTTTGATTTTCGGTGTGCTCCAATTTGCTCTTCAAGAAATTTCTGCTGCATTTGGAGAAGCTGCTGCGTTTCCTGTAGCCATTCTTCATATTGCTTTCTATATGAATCATCTGGAGTTAAAAGATAAAAAAATCCCACGTTTCTTCTAAAAATTCAAGTGTTAAAGGGAGATCTTTATTTTTCAAGTAGGTGGTTGTTTTGGGCCATGTTGTTGTTATGAAGAATCCCTCCCCCCTGGCCCCTCAGAGTATTACCAGCATCCACAAAAAATGTTTTCAAGCTGGCTACAGAAACTAGACTGTGCTCACATTCTCCCAAGCTCCTATTTCCATGTTCATCATAGCATTAACATTTTCTCTCATCATAGTGGAGCTAAAGTATGTTTTAAAGAATGGAAAAATATATAAAATATTTTTAAAATGCAGAAATAGCTCTTCTATAAGGCAGAAAAGGCCATGTTTATCTTAGCCTACCTAATGATCCATTACACTTACCGTATTTTTCCGACTATAAGACGATACTTTTTTCTAAAATCCTTACCCTAAAAATTGAAGGGCG